TGTAAAGTATATTAATGCACAACCAATAACAGGAAATATGTTGCGTTGCCACATGTTTCCTGTTTTTGTGAACATCTCCCTTAATGCACTTTCACAGCAACCAACAAGCGTTAGCAGCACTGTGAAATTTCTTTTACAAAGAAGGACAAATCAGGGACTTTGCTGTGTATTAATAAATTACTGCAACAGTAAAAACTGCTCAAGTGTGTGAACAAGAAAACCTCTGACTATGTAAAACTAACATGGTTATATTAAGGCAGATAACCGACTGAACTTTATTTCTATGTAAGACAGTATTAGCGTACTACTACATACTAAATAATAACAATTGTAACTATATTTTGTTGCCAAGACAACAATGTGGCAGCCAGAGTACTTTGATGTGTTACTCATTAAGTAAACTTCTTGCTGTGGTTAGCACTGTCACCTCAGTTAAATTTGGCAAAGCCGTTCTGAATCAGCCATTTTTACTAATAAACTGTAAATCACATGAAAAGGACTGAATTTCAGTTTTCTTATAAAGAACTTTATATTATATAGCACAAACTTTTCATTACTTTAGATCAGATTTATTGGCGATTTGTTTAAAAAAAATGCCGAAAAAGATTTTATAGGTGGCTATGTTGTTTAAACATTTTCCTTTTGTTTTAATAATCCTGGTCATGCAGTTAAAGTATCATTGTGGAACTCAGCTACCTTTGTATGGAAGTGTGATTGGATGCTTGTATGTGTATGTCATATTTTATATATGAATATGAACTCTATGCAGGTCTGTACACCTTATAGACCAGGGGTGGTCAACTCCAGGCCTCGAGGGCCGGTGTCCCTGCAGGTTTTAGACGTGTCCTTGAACCAACACAGCTGATTTAAATGGCTAAATTAGCTCCTCAACGGCTGTGTCCCAATTAAGAGACCGCACGCTTGAAGTACGCGCACTACGCGTACTACGTACGGTACGTACTATAAGTACGAGAAGTGCGGAAGTGAGAGGCCTGTGAAATGGGACGGTCTAGCCTTCGTCGCGCTGTTCAGGTTGCCTAGCAACCATGATACTAACCGCGAGAAACGTTACATACAGCTTTGTTTGACAGAAATGAAGGAGAAAAATGTTTTGTTGGTCATTCATTTTTGTCATGACATCACTGTGATTAGTTGAGTATCTGAGGCTGAGACCACGGGACTGTAAAACATGATTGTTGGGCTTCATTTCTGCACTGAACAGTCATTTCAAGATTAGTTAGTAAATAGCAATTAGCTAATGTTGGTCACGAGACTAAAATCATCTCACTGTGGTAGTGTAAATATAATATGGCCAATATTATAGTATTGTCAGATTATTATGATATATATATATATACAACCAAGTTAACGCTGAAAGTACGAACATTACTAATGTCACATAACTTTGCCGACATGTGGCCAATAGTAATGTTTTAATGTTCTTCGTTATTAAACATTCGCACATAAATAACGTCATATTCAGTACTTACCTTTGACAGTTCGGCCGCTCCCTTCTGCCGTATTTTGCGGCAAAATTATCCACACCCACCGCCGCGCTATGAATTGTGGGATATATGGAACCACGAAGCGTGCACCGGACCACGCTTGATATTTGGGGAAATCGACGGCGCATTTGGAGTATGCATTTGAAGTACACTTCGAATTGGGACAGCCGTCGTCGCGTGGTGGTGACGTAATCGCACTTAAAATGCGTACTTCAAACCTGCAGACCCTGAATTGGGACATAGCGAACATGTCCTGAAGTTCTCCAGAGGCCTGATAACGAACTAATCATGTGATTCAGGTGTGTTGACCCAAGGTGAGATCTAAAACCTGCAGGACACTGGCCCTCGAGGCCTGGAATTGCCCACCCCTGTTATAGACTATAGATTTAGACTAAAGGTAACAGCTAGGTACTACTATTCAAATGCACTTAAATAACTGATCATTAGTTAGTGAGAGCACTTCTATAAAAACAGAGGTTTTGCCTCTACACCCACAACTGCAGTTTGGCCCACAACAACAACCTCATCATCAAGTTTGCTGATGACACCACGGCAGCCCCCTAAAATATAAGCTGTTTTTACTCAGGTTTTAACATTCTAACTTTTTAGTACAAAGTTCACATGATGTCCAGTTGTGCCAATAAGTAACTGTCCACAGAAATCACTGCGAGGTAGTCAGTAGATGTCCTGTACCTGCCTTCTGCACATTCTACCGAGGCAGCTGTCTCTTACTTGAAGCAAAGGGAGTAGTTGAGTACTGAAGTAAACTATCTCAGCATGCTGCCGTCTCATATTTAAAAGTAGATATATATGAATGTTTTTATCTTAGTGGAAATTGGAAACTGAGTTGATCTGATAAGGGAGAAGGGGTAGATGTATTCTGTGTGCAGGAAGCTGTGTGCTTAAACGTGCCGATGTTGTCAAAAACGGAAGAAAGAAAGGTAGATAAGAAGGTTATTGATTAGTTCTGCATTTTCTCACTATATGCCTTTGCCATACCACAGCAAAATAAGTTTGTCCTTAAATACGAATCTTGGTCTGGTGGCGGCAGATGGTCACCCCTCCCTGAGCCTGGTACTGTTGGAGGTTTTTTCCTGTTAAAAGGGAATTTTTCCTTCCTACTGTTGCAAACAATACTACACTCAAAAGGATGTCACAATGGCAGTTTATTTGACTTATGATTACAGTTATCACTTTTTGAACACTTTTGTACAATTCAGTGTTTAAATAATGGTGCAAGTAATGGTCAAGTTGCAGATTTCAGCATCAGTGATGTTGAGATCTGAAACTTGACATGACAAACATACACCCTAAGACTATCTTTAGGATAAAGAACAAGCTGATGATGATGTGGCACAAACAGTACAGATGTCAACATCAGAGGTGTACTTATAAGTGACTTAGGAGTGAGCAATGAATATACCAGATGCCCTTTATCCATTCATTCTCCTTATGTATGGACATTGCTTGTGGTGTAAAGTGTCCAAAGTATTAATACTCTTTGCTGACATTACAAACATCTTCTACTCTGGTGATGATGTGCAGAATTTATTGGAGGATATGACTAATGAAATAAGTAAAGTGAAGTTCTAGCTTGATAAAAACAAATTATCATTAAATTTGAATAAATCTAAACTTATGTCATTTGGAAATAGTAGTTTACATACAAATGCTAAGATTCAAATAAATGGTGTTGATATTGAAAGAGTCAGTGAAAAATAAATTTCTGGGGATAATAATAGATGAAAAACTTAACTGGGGGCCTCACGTAAGATACATACATTCCAAAGTATCACAAAGCATTGCAATACTAAACAAGGCAAAGCAGGTATTCGACAGAACATCACTTCATATTCTCTACTGTTCACTGATTTCACCATACATAAGCTATTGTGCAGAGGTCTGGGGCAACAACTATAAAACCACATTGCCTTCACTTTTTACTCTTCAAAAATAGCAAAAGTTTGAATCATCCACAGTGCAGGTTATAGGGAACATACAAACTCACTATTTTTGCAGTCTGAAATATTGAAAATTGACGATCTAGTGAAATTCCAAACAGCACAAATTCTATTCAAAGCAAAAAATAAAGAACTGCCAGGTAATATTCAGAGTATGCTTTTTTGAAAGAAGTTATAATTCAAGGGGTTTTTGTAACTTCAAAACAGGGAAGGTGCGTACTACAAGAAAAAGCTTTTGTGTTTCTGTGGAACAGTCTGAATATGGAATTAAAGCAATGTCCAAACATAAAACAGTTCAAAAAGAGATATGAAAATGTGATATTCTCGAACTATAAAGACAGGGGAAATATTGAAATTAAGTGAATATTTCTATTTAAAAAATTTCATGATGTGATGTTATAGTATATAGTATATATTATATCAGAAATCTGTTCACTATTTTTATTACAGATTATATCAGTAAGGAAGCTGACTAAATATTAACTGATAACTTATGGCAAAGGGGTGGGATTAAATAAGTGTGCACTTCTTCCCACTCCCTTTCAACATGTAAATGAATCAGAACGGTAGCAATATTGAAATGTATTGACTTTTGTATAGTATTTTTTCTCTCTCTTATCTTCTTTATTAAATCTACCTGTATATTGTTTGCATGTTTGAAATAAATTAACAAACAAACAAACAAACAAATGATAAAGGCTTATATCCATACTAAGAATATGCTCGCTTGTACTTATTTACATAGAATCACCAACCTAATTAACGTAACCACATGCATGCCTTCTGGCTGTGAGAATTACCTGTTGTAAAGCTATGTATGCTGTTTACATAATTCTATCATTAAACATAAACAGATGTTGC